TCAATAGGGATGGCTGAAAACCGATTTAGAGCACTAAGCTCACTCAGACTTCTCTTGCATTTTCTCTTGATTAGGCTGACAGGAACTGAAGATGAAAATGTTAAAACCCGACTTCAGTCTCCCATGTTGCACTTAGGCTGCACTCATTTGTTAGAGCTCCTTTCTTTGTGCCTCTGCAGGTCAGGCAGTGCTCCAGCAGCCGGGCCCTGCCTGCAGAAGTGCAGAGGGTGTCCTCTGGCAGCTGACGTAGCTGTCCAAGCCTGATCATAACATGATTTTATCTGAGGAGCTAATGTAAATTAGCTGATGATAGTGCACAGCAGACTGCTTGCTGCAAATGAGAAATCTGCAAGGAAGTTAGGATCAGTATCAAAACAGAGGAAAGAAAACACACTGCTTTTACAATGCATTACTCCTCACAATCAGAAGCTATCATGTTTAGGCAGAGAAAATCAGGAACCCTGCCTGTCTATAACTGGTAGAGAATACCAAGTTTAAAAAAGGAAGGGGGGGGCAGGGAGAGAAAGGGTTAAAAGAAAATTCCAGAAACGTAATTCAAACGCACGTGGTCAAAAAGCAAGGCCTCAAAGAAAGCTTTAGGGTCAATGTAACACAGAATGGAAGCACTACAGAGTTTGGAAGCCTCCCTGTGACTTAAATTACAGATGGTTTCCAGGAGTTTCCTTAATAAAATTTGTCTAGGGAGAAAATATTGGTGTCAGTGAGGGGAAAAACTCTGATTCACGGAAAATGGAAAAGAGAAAGGCAGCTTCAACCAGGAGTCAGTCATCAATCTGCTTCTTAGACAGAGTCTTGGCAAAACCCATTCTCCTGGTAGAACTTGCCTAGAGTAGACCAGATTGATTTTACAGTCTCTTAGCCTAATAAATGCTTGACCTCAAGGTCTGCTGAATTCACTAAATTCACTATGCAGAGAGAATTGGGAACCAATCACCTCTGGGGAACATCCTGTTCCGCAGCCCTCCCCTGATAAAGGCCTTGACTGCTTTCAGCCTTATCGAGATGACTAGATGAAAGCTGCTCTCAGAAGAAGAAAGGTTAATCGACTACACTGCTGTTAATCAATCACTTGGAAAGATTCAGCACTTACAATAGGTAGGTCCCTCTTCCTGCCAAGAGGTTCTTGCATGTTAACCAGGGACCATCTCCTCCAGTTTGAAGGATGAGTAACAGACAGAAACACAGTCCCGATAGATGCCAGGTGTCTGATCCAGAGCCAGCTGAAGTGAATAGAAAGACTCCTGGTGAGTTCAGTGGGCTTGGACCAGACCCCAAAGAAAGACTTATCATCCCAGGTTTATTCTGCATACATGTATCGAGCTACTTTTAGCAGTGAAAGATCCTTGAAAAGAAGCAGATTCATCACACACTTCTGCCTCCCTGTGAAATCAAACTTCTTCAAATCATACTGTATCCCATTTACCCTGATTGTCAGATATGGCTGACATCCAGCAAAGGAAAATTACCTGCCTGTGACAGCACAGATAGACATTTCAAAATCTCTAAGGAGTACAAAAAGAAAATTGCCAAGCTGCTAATGTTTTCCTGGCCTTTTTGTAATTGCTGCTAGCCAAAATGATAGCTTTCTCAGAAGAGGAAAAGCTAGATCAATTTCTAAAAGGACAAAGGAAAACTGAGGGAATAAGATTTAAAAGATCCTGGCATGGAAAAGAAAAGCTCAGTCCTGAATCAGCAGTGGTATGCAAGGTGAGGCTGAGAGAACCCAAGAGAAAAAAAGTACCAAGAGAGAACACACAGTTAGAAAGTACCCCTGAAGATTTACTTCTGTAAATTAACAGCTGTATTCAGCACCAACATCAGCTGATGACAAAGCAGTGACTGCTCTTGATGTGCTCTAAATGGAAGTAGGAAGTCTTAAGCCTGTTGTTACAAATCCAGGTTCTTTTATCCCAGTGCAGAACCACTTGGTAACACACCTGCTCCACCACACAGCCGAAAAGCTGTATGGCAAAGAGCTGAACCAAAAGACACACACCTTTAGGACATTTATGGATACAGGTACCAGCTTACGGTTTATTGGTACAGACTTGCTTCTCCACAGCACTGCTTCTGGTATTTTCTCACTACCAGTCTCACCCAAGGCAGACTCCAGGCTGAACTTCTGCTACCATTTCCTCGTGCCTGCCGCCAGAAGGCTTCAGGCTGCTCAAATCCTGGAAAAAAAGCTGCTGGCTGGAAACTTCTGCTTTTGGAATAACCCAGTTTTCATTAGAGGCAGACACATGACAGACTGGTGGCATGGGCTATACCTGCTGTCGCTGGTGAAGAGCTGTCAGGTCCTTCAGAAGGCTGGAGAGCAGTACAGGTGCAGTGACTCTTCTCTGCTCCTCTGAAAGTTAATGGCACTACAAAACACCCTAGGCTATGGATATTTCCTTCTTGGGCAGTGGCAACAAGCAACAGATCAGCGGAACAGAGTAATCTAAGGTGTGCTACATATATAATTTCTGTGTACTCCAAGAAAATGCTTTTTCCAAGGAAGGACAGCCATCTCAAATGGACAGCCGTGCTCTTTGTCAGCAAACAGCTGGTTGCCAAAAACAATTCCACAGTCTTCCCACTGCTAGCTGAAAAAAGCCCACAAGACATATCCTGCATCTACATCCAAAATTAAGGACTGATATATATATATATATATATATATATATATAAAATAGGACCTTTTTTTCCTTTGCCTCCACTGATAAAATAACCAGCACTGCAAGAAAAGCAAGGCAGATATCATTAAAGAGTGAAGGTACCTATACATTTCATAAGAAAACCTGACAAGAAATTCCACATGCAAAACAAGAACCAGATTTCAGAGGTACAACGGCTTCTTTCCCAGAAAAGACTTTGGTATAGCAGCCCTATAAATCTGAAAATTTCAGCCAACTCCACAGCTATGTGGAATGCACGTTGCATCAAAACACAGAGCAGCTCTGGTGTAAGAGCCTGGAATTTGGTTTTCTATAACCTTTGTATGAAAATTATGTCAACCTGCTCAGATAAATGTGAACACACTGTGTCTCTCCAGGTCTTGTTGATGTTATTGCAGACGCAGAATCATGAACACTGTGCCTTATCTTCTCATGCTTGAAACTGGATTTTCACAGCCATAATTCTACTTTGGAACAGGGTTCTGCTGTTATGTCTGTAACTGTATGCAGCAATACCAGCAGCAGGTCTTGCTGTGTTTGTCATTCCATGGGCACACACTGAATCCCACTCCCCAGCGATTCTCCTGCTGGTGGTGGATCCCACTGCAGCCACAAAAATGACAAGAGATCCAGATAAAAGTGATATATTTCACCTATTGACTATTCATTTCTTAACCTAGAGTGGATGAGCATAAGACACCTGCAGGTTAGTACTAATGACCAAGTGAGGAAGTAGAAAGGTTACTGCCTAATCAATCCTTCCTTGTGTCGTTTGGAATAGTGTCCTGCAAGGCTTCAGGCACAAACTTGGTTGCGCTGAACTACGACATCCAAAGACAAAATCCCTTCTGTCTAAAAGGAATGGAGAGATGGATGGATGGCAGAGAAATGGAAGGAAAAGTCTGAGTGCCTTATTGACCCAACTGACATCCTGTGAACGGCACAAACAAAAATGTATTGGGCAACAGAAAACTTCTTACTTACCCCTGTCATCGCTCCCCCCAGTGGTTCATGCCATGGAAAACCACAAAAATTCCCTTAGGCCACATATTTAAAAATCTTGCAATTTTATTTGCATATAAAGGCCGCTAGATATAATATCACAATAAATTTAAAGAAACAACCGCTTTTCTAAATTCCATTAACAAGGTAACATAAAACAGAACAAAGCTCAATAGCATTTACAGTGGTGGAACAGAAATAACTATCTGCAACAATATTTTGTGCTAGCGAGATTGCATTTACACACAGTGCAAAATAAGAAAAAGGAAATAAAAAAGACAAGAAGAATATTTAAATATAAAGGACAACTAAGCCTTATTTTATTTAGGCTTGATTGTATCCATTTGACTCTATACATGCCTGAACTACAACAAAGATTTAACTCGGGCTCTTGAAGGCCTTGAGCACTTGGAAAAATGTGTCACATCCTTCATAATTTAGATGTGCTGTACAGCATAATTTTGCAGATGCTATACTGGCAATATTAAATCCTAGCTTAGTTATAATGCACAAAAAATACATATATATATAAATTCATATTTAAAAGGAGTCCGCATTTACATTTTTTTTTTTTTTTACTGCATGAAATACCTGCTCTTTGCAGCTTTCACCCCCAGTCTTTTAAAGCTAAAATAATTTAAAAAAGAAACAACAGAAGGTAGATATCACATACAGGCTGTGGCTATCTAGATCAGTCTTTATAAAGCAGGTAGAGACAAACAACTGAGAAGTCTATTCTCCCCTTGCTGCATTCTACCGTGAACAGAAACAAGTTTAAGTACATGCACACATATCAAGAGGTAAATGGACCCCAAAATATTGTTTGTGCTACTAAATAAAATTGATATAAATGGAGATAAAAAGCTAACGTTTAGACCTAGGGAAAAAGAAGACACTTAAAAAAACCTCGACAATAACATAAGTTGTGCAAATTTGGGTGTTTTTAAATGCTGCCTATTTTTTAGCTTATAATATAATATTAAAATAAGGTCTCTCACTTATTAAAAGAAAGCTTGGCTGTCCTTTTGAGAACACTATAACAATTTACAATGGCAAATTTATTGAAAAACAAAATTCATTTTACAAATTCACAATGCTTTATCAATTTAAAATGAATGCTGCATTTCCAAAAAGCACAACCTCTAACTTTTCTCCTTGTTTGTTTTGCACCAGCAATTTACAAAAAAAAAAAAAAAAAAAAGAAAAAAACCAAACCCCAAAGCCCACCCCAAAACAAAACCCCCCACGGTTCCCCCAAAATCCCACCCCACCCTCCCCCAGCCCCTCTTTCGAAATAAACATGTAACTGAATGTAAGTTTTATAATTAGAAAATGGCAGTTTATAGACCTTCCCCAGTTCCAAATGTGCAGTAGTGCTTCAGGATCCTTGAGGGGTCGGAAGGTCGAATATAATTGGAGGGTTGGTTGGTTGGAAGCTGACTGTACACGTTGAAGCATTGATGTACGTCGTGTAACCGTCTGTCATGATGCCATAACCTGTGGGGACAACGTGTCACACTCACTGCACCACAAACAAACAGTGCTGAAGGCTTGTTTGTGGGATCAATGCTTTGGAGTAAAATTAAATTAATCCCTTCAAAACGATACAAAGCTCTTGAAAGCTGCTTGATTGAAAAAAAAAAAATACACAGTGTGCCGTGTTTGAAATAAGAACGGATGCTTTTGTTTTATGTACAAACCTATTTTCCCCCATGGATAGCCCTCTGTTGCAACTGGATGCAGCAGAAACAGAGACAATGCCACACATGTTCTTTTTCTAATTACATTATTAGTGAGCTACAGTCAGAAGAAAAAGACCATTCAGGATTTGGAAGTAACTTTGGTTTAGTCTACAACACCCTCTCTCTGGGAAATGACCCAAACCCTTGTAAGGTCTCCCTCTGCTAGTCCTTATTATCCATTTCCTCATAACAGGACTGCCAAGCTGGTGTTCATGCCAGCTCCTGATACCTCAGAAACTCCTCAGCAGGTTAAAAGTATACACATACACATATCCAGGTTGTCCAGAGAAGCTCCATCCCTGGAAGTGTTCAAGGCCAGGTTGGATGGGGCTTGGAGTAAGCTGGTCTATTGGAAGGTGTCCTTGCCCCTAGCAGGGGGTTTGGAATGAGATGATCTTTAAGGTCCCTCCCAATCCAAACCATTTTATGACTCCCTGACATATTATATATATGTGTGTATATATATACACAAACACACACACACATATATATGCATATACATATATATACACACATATATATTTTTAAACTATTTTTATAAAAATGTGTGTGTTTTCAGCTGACATCCACAAAAAGCTAAACAAAGAACTTGGAAAAGGTCTTGAAAATGTATCTGGCACCAAATGTACTTGAAAAAATAATTTTGAAAACCCCCAGAGTTTCATGGAGGAAGAGAGTTTCCCATCGCAAACCCACAGAGGAAAGATGTTTTTCTTTTAAACCATTATGATACAGTACAGATCACTGCTGTCTGAAAGCTAAGATAAATACAGCTACCCACAGTGCCTATTAGAAAGAATAATCACTTCAGAATTGCTGCACTGTCCACCTGTATTACTTTATTTATTTAGAATGGCAATTTTGATTTAGACCGTCTCATGGTGGGAAAAACCCTGTTTGTGGTTGTTCTTGCTTATCAACCAGGGAAAAAACCTGCATCACCAAAATGTGTGTACAGCCTCCGTTGACTTAAGGGAATGTGGTGCATCTTCATCTCAGCTGGAGTTGGATGGGAATTAATTGAACTGTAAGATAATGCTTTTAACACTTTGCTATTTCTTCCCGTACTGAAACAAGCTGTTCTTATGTCTTCTGTGTAAGTACTAAACGGGATTTTAACTTTTTGTTGTTATTCTTGTAAGAATTTATTTGAACGTTCGCTTTTAATATGCGCTGCCACCTTTCTTGTGAGACATAAATGTAGGGTGCTGCACATGGTTCCTTAGTGCTTTCTCATAATAATTAAAATGTACATGTACTTTACAATAATTAAAATGCACACGTATATTAAATATCTTCCTCTCCCACTATTTAATGCTATTAAAGTTTCACCAGCTAATGTGCCTACAAAGGCTGTAGACAGTTTACACGTTTTAGCTGGAAGTCTTGCTATATTCGCTTATTCTTAATATGCAAGGACTAATATTTATACAAAATATCCAATCTTTTCCTGGGTGCATTAAAAGACTGTTATTTATGCCTCTATACTTAAGGTCATGTCAGCATTCCCAGTACAGACTCTTTATTTGCAGATGCCAGGCATGAAATTTGTCGTATGGAGTCACGAGGGCTTCAGAAAAACCAACACCACTTGTTGAGAAAGCTGTCCTTTTTTTATTTTCTTTTTATGAAGTCCTCCAAATCTTTAAGCTTATGGAGAACCTAGTTATAGACAATGGAGAAACCTCCAGGGGGAGAATATAAAGCATTTAATGTGTAATTTTGAGTTCCAGGGTCACAAAGTCTTACACTCTCTCTCAGGCAGAACTCCTAGTGTTTGTCTCTCAGCCACATGAAAGCTATGAAATTGTATTAAATATTTAAGTATCTCCAGCATGTATTTAATCTCTCAGTCACTTCCACTGCCACAAACTGAGCTCATTGTTTCTGAAGCTTCACACTCTGCCTGTCCTGGCACTGACAGTGGGGAAATATCTCTTCTAAAACATGAGACTCCTGGAGGGTAACACACGCAGTACACACTGTATTACAGGGTGCTTTTAGATATGTATGCACAGTGAGTTCTGGCAATGCCTCCTGATGCCTGACTCAAGATGCCCTCCTTTCTGCTTCTCCTTGTGCACTGAGGGAGGTGAGCTGAGACAGTAAGTTGTCTTTAATTTTCTTTTCCCTCTGGTACCTTTCTTAGCTCCTGTATTTAGAGTAATGGGGATAATTTTCATTTTGGCTTGCAAGTGTGGGGAATCTCATCTGTTTCTCTAACCAAGTTTGTCAAGACTTGAATTGCTTTCAAATAACCTGCATAGAACAACCTTTGCACAGTGAGAGATGTAGGTGGCTAAATGTAGCACACATTCCTGAAACAGCCTGTTTTAATTCTGGCATAAATTTACAAAGTGCTGTACATACAACCACTTCCCTCAGCTCCTTCCCCACTTTAGTCCAATATGCCACCCTCCATCCATTGCAATACACCATCAAAATGTGCTCCTTGAAATCTGTCTGAGAACCAAGTGGGGAGTAGTGCTGCTCCTTACCTTCATGAATCCCACCAAAGACATGGAGTTTGGGCCTTACTCGCCTCTGCACTGTGTTCAGCAGCTCCACACAACCCACTCTCTGCAGCTCCTTTGGAACCCAGTCTCGAAAACCTGAAGGCAAAGTGCAATCAATATTGTTAATTTTCTCTATTCAGGTAAGGTTTCACGTAGTCTTTCAGGAAGTCATAATTCACAGAAGGTTTATTACATTATCTCTAGTCATAACCTCTACATTAAAGCACACAGTGGCTTTTAAGGAATGTTTCGCTGCCACTTTGTCTTCCTTAAGATTTCCTCCCTTCAACTGCATTAATATTTTTCTGGATGTGATTTGTTTTTTTAAACTACAGGTTTAAACTCATCTTCCACCTTGAAACCCTGGGACGTTTATTCCTGGCACTGTTGCAGATTTTTCTTCCCTTTCCCCTGGTTCTCGGAGCTGTCAGCTTCCCAAGCCAGCTGTGTGGTTATTCCAGAAAAGAAAACAGCTCAGGAATGTCACCCCAAAGGTTTAAAATACAGTCTCCCACAACTTCCAGAGGACCACGGTCTGCAAGCATCAGGTAACTTCTGAGCCCACACCACTAACCTCAAGCAATGCAGCAAAACAGCTTTCAAGAAGCCAGTGCTAACTGACTACATTGCCAGTTGGTCCTACAGATAATATGGGAAAAAGTACAAAATTTGACATCAGTCCTTACAGAAGTTTGCTGCCTGGACTAGCACTGACAAACATCAGCAGGGCAAGATGAACGAGGGGGAGTGAAAGGGAAATTGGGAGCCAGGTCCGACTGCAGCACCATTCTCTCGGCTTTAGTGTGATTACACCCTGTGCCAAGTTTATCCCAGGTAGTAAAAACGCGTTTGTGATGTGAACTTGGCTAAATGGATGAACAAAGAGTCCAGTTACAGCTCTACCTCCCTTAATATTTACTTACTAAGTAAATAAGTAAACAATAAATATTTATTTAAAAAGCAGTATTTTGTCAATATTACCATACAGGCTGAGACCTACAGCCCCTCATTTTAGGCACAGTACTAACAACTAATCTGTGTCTGTAGTTAAGATACAGTGCCAACCTTTTGAAATTGAACTTTATTATCTCCATCAAACACAAAATTTAAGTATGTTTATTCAATTAAAGCACTCCTTAGTGTCTCCAGCATCACAGTACTTCTGTATGAACCCAATTCAGAGCAGATGGATTAACAACCCATTTAAAACAGCACCCATGAAACATTATAAACATGCTTGCATGTGTTTTTTTGCTTCTTTGGGAAAATAAACTGATTAAGAGAGTGCTGTTCAAAGCACTGGTTTGCAATATCCGGTGGCTCCAAAGCCAGTGGATGCTGTATCCCTGCTTTAACACAGCAGTAAGGTGGGAGCTCCAGTAAGGTTAAAGAGAATTTGCAGATCACCTTACAATGTTCTCTAAGTTGTACCAAAAAAATGGAACCAGAATACAAAAGGAGCAGTAATTACATTGGTCAAAAACTTTCTGGACTTTTTTTTTCCCTTAGCTTTGCTTAGATTGCTGACTCTTAATTGTGGTAGAAAACATAAGCATGCATTATTTCCTGACTCCACTGTCACCAAGAAGGTCTGTGAGATCACTGAGCCAGCCTGGAAGCATCTAAAATGCTGCTTTATGATGGCACCATGCAATTCTTAGAAGTTTTTACTATATTCACAACCATCTCAAAAGTCAGCGACTTCGTGTGATTCGTGTGATGATCTGACCCCTTGGATTGCAAGCACTTACTAAAACCCTGACAAAATCACAGCAAGGGCAATGAAAAGACTGCCACACTTCCTTATCCTGGTGAGCCATATTTATAAAAGACAGATGCTCAGTTGTAAACCCCACTGAAATACTTAAAATACAGTCCTAGACTGCTTGCCACATGTGTCTTAAAGAAAAGCAGTAAATAATATGTGATACTGTCTTCTGGGGTACAGGGTAGAGGAAAAATAGTGGGGCTTTTCAAGTGGTTTTAGTGTGGGCTTTAATGACTTCAGACATGCCAAAACTGAGCACTCCTGTCTCTGCTAAATGAGTATCCCAGTGTCTTTTTGAGACCATCAGAACTTAGTTTAGACCTTACGAGCTAAAATGGAGATCAGTGAATTACTCACGTTGACAAGGTAAGCAAAATTCAACTAAATGAGAAACTTTTAGCTACCTAATGAGAAAACAAATTATGCATTCATAGACTGGTGCTCACCCATCATTAGTTCAAGTAAGGAACAATTATCTAAGAATGTAATTTTATTCCTTCACAAAGTTTTTATAAGCTAATTAATACCTTTAAAACTACAGTTACATATTCTAAGTTTATCAGGACTTTATCAACGAGAATATGTGATTACATACTCCTAAACTCCTGACTGCTTACTCTCAAACCTTAAAGTAACATGTCATTGTGGTGAGAAAAGTTTTTAAAAGTTTTAGTCAATCTCTAAAAAATCATATGGGATTGGAAACTGCTTGTCAGATGAATACTGTTCTTAAATAAAATGTCAAACTGTACCGGTTATTGAGTCAGATATTTGATCTCCCTTAGCTTGAATTTAACAAAAAAAATTAAGTTTTTTATTGAAATTCAACAGATCAGCTAAGCCTAATCATCATTTTCCACTTCTTCCAAGAAGGTTTTTAATCCATAGCTTTGAGTTTCGGTGCAATTAAAGTATAGGTTAGACATTATTAGTTTTGCTTATTTTGAAAGTAAAATTCTCATGCAAAAAAAATCACACAAGAGCTTTTGTTTCACTTACCAAGGGGAGGTCCATGTGTCATTAGTATATCAATTCCCTCAGGAATAAGGTTCCACTTGTCTAGCAAAGACTGACCTCTGGGTAGATTAAAGCCCCATCCATTAAACCATGGTGTCCTTTGGGGGAAAATAAGACAAACTGCATCAGTGTAAAATAAAAATCTCTTTCCTTCTCCAATTTTTTTCCAAATTAAACCAATTTCTGTGCTTCAGAGATTACTTGCAGACAACCTTTTTGAAGGGGATGCCTCTAAAACACACTGATTCAAATACATACACACATTAATGTATACGTTTGAATTCAGATTAATATCTGATGCTATTTTTGTACTTGAAGAGTATTCAGCCCTGGGGGCATTTACTCACTAGAGGGAAAGGGAAAAATGTTAGAATAACACAGTCTAAATATAAAGCTTTTTTTTGCAAAGTTTGGGGATGTTGGAAGGTAAGAACTCCTTGCTCATGCTAATTACCAAAACAAGCAAAAAATTTCCGAAGCTTTTTAGAGGCAAATATCAATTTCTCACAGCACAGGGCAGCAGTAAGTAACAGTTCAACAGCACTTAAAAGCACCATCTGTGCTACGGTGTTTCACCAAACTCAAACTTGCTCCTTTTAGCACTTTTAATACCGGGTTACTGTCACCTGTCTTGGTTTTGAACTCCTGAGCCTCACACAGTGTTTAGCCTCACGATGGCTTTTTAAAGAGATCTTATAATTTAAAGTTCATCTACTATTTCTTAAGGAAAACTTATATTCTCAGTCTTCTCCACCATAGCATAGCATTGTCATGAGACACTGGTTTAACCACCAATCCAAGCCTGTAGCAATGACAAGCGAACCTCCTAGGAGTACTTTTTCAAAGTATAACACCAAAAATGAATAATTTTCATGCAGGTATATCATAATAAAGCCTCTCCTTATCAGATAGGTACACAAAGCAATTGTTCTGAAGAGATGCTGTAATGTTTATAGTATCTGTTACTAACAACTTTTTATAGAGCTGTTCGTACTGTACTAATTTTAAGGGTTTTCAGCCATGTGTGCATTTCCTAGAGCTCAGGCAAGAGATTTAGACTTCATTTTCTAGGGAGGAAACTCCTATCCTAGCCCTAGTCATTTGGGGGTATCTTTCTGAGAGTTCAAGCTACTCCTGACATCTTCTGTGTGCTGCAGTTCTGAAAAGAGAAAACAAAAACTCAGGTGGAAAAACAACCACAAACCAAAGAAAACTGTACCTTTTAAAGAGAGAGAGATCATTAGAGCCCTATGTAATTTCATTATGTAACCTGCCTCCTCTACCCTCTAAATTATTCATATTTCTCAGCCTCAAATATGCATTAAAGCAGGAGTGTCCTGCTGAGATTACATCTCTAATTTTTATTTTTTTGTAATTAAAGTGCTTTGTTTTCCCGACACAATGATTTGACCAATGAAGATTATACCCAGTTATATGGATGATCTGCATTCCTGACAATCGGCAGTATGGAAAAACAGCAGGCGCTGCTAATATAGGGGCAGGAAGGTCACTGGTGCCTTAGTAACAAATAATAGACATATCCCATGTAGTCCTACTGAACTAATACTTCTACTACACACACACAGGAACTCATTCAAGCCAGCAGACTTCCTGAATGAACACTAACAAAAGATAGGGAAATGAGACGTTTAGTCAAACATTTTTTGTGAGCTATGGGTTCCTCATGTGCACAGCCACGAAGCTTCACCTCTCACAGCTGCCCCGCTTTGCACCCACGGAAATGCCCCAAAAACATTCCTGTGTTGCAAAGCAAGGTCGGTGTACTCACAGAAGGTTTGTATGCAGCTGAATTAAAACTGAAGGGTGTGTCTTAGCTTTAACCAAATCACAAGAATTTTTGCTCTTCTAGGATTGACCTTCCTGAAACACGTATCTAAATTTCCTGTCCTATAGAGCTCCTAGGTCTTAATATATCAAAATTATTGTAACCTTCAAGGCTGCAGTTAGAAGTTTAATTATTGTTTGGCTAAACATTCAGCTGCTTGAAAAAAACAAACACACAGAGCACTGGTCAAACTTTTCACTGTCAATTAATGATTCTTTCCCCACTTGCATTTCTCCTGAAGATAAGATTGTAGTTATTACACCATAGTTAAACCTGAAACATGAAACCCCATCTGTGATTTCTCTGGAGCTCTTTGGAGACTACAACCACAGAAAAAGCTGGATTTGTCTGCAGGTTTTTTATTTTATTTTATTTTATTTTATTTTATTTTATTTTCTTCTGAAGCACTGTGGAAGGAGGAGGGGAACCTGAGCTCAAATATATTCCTCATTCACCAACCTCTGTAATTAGCTGTGACTAACAGGCCCCACATGGGAATCCACTTGCAAGAAAACTTTCAAGAAACCTTCCTGATTATGCAGCATGTACACAAAAAAAGATGGTCAAGTGCTTACTTAATATAATAAAGATTTTCATACGAAATGAACAAATCAAGGAGAAGAGCAGGCATGACTGGAAGAACACCTGGATTGCAGATTTAGGCTTCAGGCATTTAAAACACAAAACCTTGCATATTCAGTGACAGCACTGCACAGACTAGGCAGACTGAGGGTCCCTGCCTTTCAGGGGGTTCAGGCATTTCCAGAAAGCCAAGAGGATGCATTCAGAACACCACCAAGAAGAGAAACAGCTTTCTGGCACAGGCTCAGGTTTAGATGAGATCACAGGGAAGGTCATCCGATGTTTGCACTCGGCTGTGTTGCAGTGCAGACGAAATGGAGTTGATGTGCTGTGAATCCCACAGCACATCCCATGTCACAATCCCGGGAGCACACAGTGAACAGCCTTTTACCCCCAGCAAACTTTAAAGGCGTGCAGGAAAGACAACCCCTGCACTGTAGGTAGGTAGCATCCTATCAAGGGGTATTGGATAGGGGTATTTTACTGCCATTAGTGCCTTTTTTTGAATACATGAATTAGAGTCACTCTCAACTTCTAAATAATTTAGAAGAAAAACTGTGCATGACGTTAGGTGCCTTCTGCAACATATTTTCAAGCTGATTACTTGCTGTGAGAAACCACTTCCTATCTAGGAAGAAATGCCTATAATTAACTTTGGCTGCACTGTCAGGGTTTAAGCCCAGCTGGCAACCAAGCACCACGCAGCCACTCCCTCCTCCCCGTGGGATGGGAAAGAGAATCGGACGGGTAAAAGCACATACACCCACCTGTGGTAACCCCTAATCAGGTGCGAAGAATTAGTAAAGGCTGCTTGATCCTTAGCAGCCATATTTCAGATATGACCTGTTTTTTTCTTTCCTATGGAGCTCTAAGTAAAAGTAATTTCAGTTAACTCCTAAAACCGTTCATCGTATACTTCATTTTTAAGTACAGCTGGCAAGAGCTGTTGAATAATGCCACGAGGGAGGCGTAGACGGAAAACCCACCGGGACTGGTAATGAGAGATTACAAATGATTTTGTCATTTTACGTTTGATGGACCAGAACACTTCCTCACACCCCCATGCCCGGCGTGTGCAGGGGAACCTAATTGAGCCTCTGCTCGTCAGAACCACGCCACACTCCACAGCCTCCTTCACGTGCCATCAAACCCTCAGGATAATTCCCGGTCCCCGGCTCACCTGACAGCTCAGCCCTCGCCTGACTGCAAAGCTTCCTTTTGGTTTAGGGATAGCGGCTCTGCTGGTACCAGGTGTGACACAGGGAATATCCTCGTGAAAGGCAGACACCTGGCCCGTCCTTACTCTCCTCAGTTCTTCATTTCTACGCAGGAATCCCCACAGGTCCCCCTCCACCTGGCATTCTGGAAGCTACATTTTCTGCAATTAAAACTGAGTGCTTATGCAGGAGGCTGCAAATTATCTTCACACCTTGTGCTGCAAGAGACACAGACGTTACTTGACGTGATGCCAGGAAGGAGGGAATCTTAAGCCTCACAGCAAGACTCACCCTCCTTTTACAGGTGCACTGGGAGAAACCCTGGACAAGACACACAAATCCATCTGCTTTTTACAGCAGAGAGCTGCCTCTTCAGCAGGTGATCGGATCTCCCTTCTCCCAAGTAAACACTGTATGGTTTTATCAAAACCCAAATGAACCAAAGCCAACCCACAATAAAAGCACAGTCACGGAGCATTATTTCATGACCAAAAAAATCACAACTGCTCTTTGGTGTGCTCCTTAGAAGCAACACTATGACATGAGGAAACAGGAGACACAAGGCCGCAGCCAAGTTCATCCAAGTGATACAGGAATTTCAAATCCTTCTGGAACTTTAATGTTTTTAAAGGTTGGTATCTCCTACAACCTACTTTCATCTCTTCTCTGGCTCATGAATTTAATTATCTGATCCTCAGAGTTCAACAACTCAAAAGGTAAATGTACAGTGAGACCTTCCAGATTCAGATTCTCCTCTTAACTCCACCAGTAAATCCGTTTATTTCAATAGTTACTTCTAAACAGGATTAGAAAAAATAAATTATCTCATGGTTCTTTAATCCCATGTATTCATTCATTTTTAAGGCTACCCAGTCTTTTAGGAAAGCTTCAATTTTACCCTTAATCCAATGAGTAAAGTGCGCAGGAGGCAAAAATCTCATTCTATCTCCTTCCACAGGGTAACAGCCAAGGGAGTGTCTAAAAGGCATCACAGCAGGAAAGCGCTTCCACACGACCAATAACAGTAATGAAATGCTCTTTATTTTTTTCAGCATTCCAAATGAATGCACAGACCTGGCTCGGGAGGGAGAGAGACAGTTCCAGCAGCAGAACAAAAGTGGTGGGACAGGGCATGGACATGCACTGCTAGACTTGCTCAGTTGCAGGACTGTCCTACAGACACGTCCTCAAAGCGTCTACTACGCCCATGCTGGGCAGCCGTGCCCGTGGAGCAGCAGAGAGCAAACCACAAAGTTTGTGTGTGGGGGGAAAACAGTGACCTTTGTGCACAGAGAAGAAAAGCCTTTCAATCCCCTCCCTCCGCCCTGCACAAGTGTTTGCCAGGGCCGGGCAGCCCACACGCGCCGGGTGCCGTGTTCAGTCAATGGACAGAGCGTGCCTACTGGGAATACACAAACAGTGACTGCCAGGGAGAAGGGGAAGGAGGAGAGAG